CATCTGAAAACACGCGTTATAGGAGAGCAGACTGTATGTATATCGAACTTCTTTCACACCTTACGTAGCCAACCACCTGTGTATATATTGTGCGGGAGTGTCGGTGTTATTGGTTAACGCAATGCACTACGAAACCGGCCACCCGAGGTCGATTCCCGTTCACGACCCACAACAGTGGAGAATATTTGGAACAAGCACTGCTGGGCCTCCCCCCAATTCCAACTCGGCCTTAGCGATAAATATTGGCACTACGGAGGCAAAGGCAGCCGACCGTGGTGCTGGCCTTGCCCAAAGAGTCTGTTAAGAGGTTGTACGGGGGATCTTCGTCTTCGTGTGTATAAATGGAGCTTTTGGCGGAACACCGGTGCAGCATAACACACCGGTCCTCATAAAACCATTCTAAATTTTTTATTTGAACTGACATTCATCTTTTCACTGCCTCGACATCACGAGAACTGATTTTGACGCACCGCCCACCACCCCGCAAGATTTTCTGGCTGGGTTTGAAAAATTGCCGTCCCTGTGTATCTCGTCTGCAAGCGTGTTTACGTATGTGGGTGGTTACATATGTGGGTGTTTACGTATGTGGGTAAGCACAATTACAAAAAAAGCTCAACATTCTTCACTCGCAGTGTGTCTCGAACGTGAGAATTTCTAAGAGGGTAACATTTCGGCCTTTGTTCAGAGTTGAGCGAAATGAGCGATTGGGTGAGCAAAGCATGACAGACTCACGGCTGGAGAAATGGCCTTGTATATTGCGATCCCTTGCAAGCTGAAGTTGACAAACGAACGCTTTTAGAATTGATACAGAATATGAATACACACACACACGCGCGTGTGTGTCTTTGTTTGATCTCTCCTTGATTTGTCGATGTACTTTTCACGGTGGTTTTGTGTTTTGCATTCAGCGATCGATTAGTGCCGATTCTTATCCGCTGTGCCCCGCGCATACGCACGTCTGTGTGAACCACAGCTGCAGCGCCGGCACGAGCAGATGAAACGCAACCTGGAGGCGCAACACCGCGAGATGGAGGAGCGGCGGCGCCAGTTTGAGGACGAGAAGAGCACCTGGGAGGCACAGATCCTCGCCCTGGAGCAGCAGAGAGTTGACACTAAGTGAGCGCACACTCTGATACACACACGCGCACACACGTATCAGCCAACATACACACACACACGTACCAGCACTCTCACACATACATACATACGTACCAGCACTCGCACATATACATACGTATCAGCCAACACACATACACGTATCAGCCAGCACACACTCACGTACCAGCACGCTCATACACATATACCAGCGCACTTGAACACATACCAAAGACAAAGATCCCCCGTATAGCCTTAATGGACTGTTTGGGCAAATGCTGTTAGCGATCACCGATAAAGGTGGGCACAGCACACAAAGTGGGGGGTGAGTGGCCAGCACCACGCCCGGCCCCCTTTGTCTCCCCAGTGGCGATGTTTGCACACCGTTCCAGGTACTCATTTGAGACCGAGTTGACCTCGGGTAGGCCCATCATCGGTTCACACACACGTACCAACACTCGCATACACACGTACCAGCACACTCGCACATGCATATCAGCAAGCTCACACACACGTACCAGCAAGCTCATATACACGTACCAACACTCGCATACACAGGTACTGGCACACTCACGTACCAGCACTTGCAACATGTACCAGCACACTCGCACACGCATGCCAGCATGCTCAGACACACACATACCAGCACGCTGACACACGTGCACATGCACAGGCTCACACTTGTGCACACGCGCACTTGCATGCACACACATTCACACACACCTGTACTTAGATCGTGTAAATATAAATGCGTCGTTAAACCCGCCACCACCCGACACTGCCAATTAGTAAGGTTTGTGACGTAAACAAAAAATGGCAATTAGTGACTAGTTTAGCACACCGGTGTGTTTGAGAGTAAACCCATAACATTTCCAAATCAAGCACAAAGTGTTTGCCGGTAATTACAACCAGCCTCATCAGGCCACAGACAGAATTGTGGGGGAAATCATCCTGTTTCGGTCTTAAATAGAGTGATGAATGTGATGTCGCCACTTGTGAGCCAATCAGGTGCGAAGACCAGGGGGGCGGGTGGTGAATGTAGTCGTATAAATAACAATGGATATCTATTCTTGGTTGGGTTATTCACAGTTAATTAACATACATAATGTACAATTATGTATGTACATTCTGCCGTTTTTGGGCCCCAAAAATCGCAATACCTGTTAGTGGCTGCTCACTGTTAACCACCATGAATCGGCTGGGCTGGAACCATCAGTCTGACCCGCCCCTACTGGACATCAGTGAAAAAGAGCTTTATAGCTCATCGGATTCCTCCTCCAGTATGAATAAATATTCTGATTTCCGAGTCCTCCGCGCGCTGCATCCTGAAAACTCAACTCGTAAAGCTTGATGGCAGAGCGTAGCGCTCCGGGTTCTCGCGCACCCCTAACAGCCCCCCCCCCCTCTCTCTCTGTGTGCGCCCTACCATGACCGATGCCCACCCGCAGAACGATCGAGAAGAACAAGAAGAAGGGAAAAATCTTCTGAGGAGCCCGACGGTCCGAAGCACTCTCACAGGGTCACCTTGGGTGTTGGCCTTGTGAGATTGGCTTTTTGACCTTTGCTCCGGACATCGCAACACTCCGTCTGAGAGCACTCCATCTGAGAGCACTCCCCCTACTACGTTTCTTTGTTTTTAATATTCCAGCATCTTGTCTGCCTGTACAAACGGCTTTGTATCTTCAATGTGGTCCTCATACGACTGCGGTTTTTGTGTTTATTATTTTTTAGTTAACAGCCGACTAGATTTTTACTAGGGTACCGTTCCAAGAAAATAAATTTGAGCCTCCGTTTTAACTCGCACGAGGAGGGCTCTTTCCGTATGATGGTTTATTTTTCTGCTTTTTAAAAAAATAACCTGTCCTTTGCAATAATGAGGGGGGGGGGGGTGCGGGTGGGGGAGGAGGGGAAGAAAGAAAAATAGAAAAAAAATTGCCTTTTAATTTGTTTACAGTATTTTACAATTATGTACAACGGAGTGTCAATGAGGTCTGTTAAAATATGGTAAACGTCCTTCATCCGACCGCACACTGAACACACGTTGAATCAAATTCGGAAACCGTCCATAAACTGGAAATGGGAGACAATAAAAATTAACCTCTAAGCTCCAAGCCATGAATTTAAAATTTTTAAACGAAAGTCCCCGTTTTGGCGATCACTGTGCATTTTAAATGAAATTTTAACCAGGGATAATCGATTGTTCAATTGTACACTTTTTTAAAACAACTACAAGCCGTATAAAAGCTTATATATGTGCTTAGCAAGTAGAACTATTAACAACCTGCCAAAAATGTTTTTACTATTGGGATCTTTCCAAACGTTGTTTTTTAATGTTAAGTAAATATTTTTGTTAACCCTGTATGATAAAAAAAATAGCAACGGACTACAATAGACCAACAACAGCAACATCAACAAATATTCACCACTCGAGGGATATTTGTTTAGTGCCACCCACACTGCCCAAAACTCAACATGAAACAATACCCAGTACAGTATTTAACAGTGAACTTTATTGAAATGTAAAGTGCTTAACATGTATCTCGCTGCAGTCGATATTGAAGCTGTAACAAAAGACATTTATACAACTCCTCTGTGCACTGCCTCCTCTTCATTCGTGGCACTCTGGAGTGCTCCGAGTCCCGGGGACCACGCGTGGAGAGAATCTCAGAATAATTAGACTTGAGAAATCCGATGAGCTACAAAAGTTTTTTGGGTTGGATCGTGTAAATATAAATCTGTCGTTAACCCACCATCACCACCCGACAGCCGATTATGAATGGTTTGCCACGTGAACAAAACGTGGCGATGAGCTATTTAGCACTAATTTCTTTAGAACTGCTTTGTGTTGTCCGTCCCCCTAACCTCCGAGTCGCGCGGTTGGCTACGTCCGGTGCTAAAGCATTTCAACGTACATCGGTGTGGTGGCGAGTAAACCCACAACATTTACAATCGAGTCCCGACGTTTCGCTGGTGATTGCGACCAGCTTCGGGCGATTTGTCAGAATTGTGAAGAAGTCTTCCTGCTGGTGGGAGACTTGTCAGCGAAGATTTTGGATGTCGTGTCGCCTGTGCAGCAGCAGTTGCAGGATCTGGCGGAGAGAGTCTTAGGCATTGGCGTGGTGGTGTCAACGAGGATCTTGATCTTGGTTCCGTTACCATTGCAGGGAACAGTTCCTGGCCATAGCCCCCTTGAACGTCACGGGGAGATGACACGCGCTAGCAAAACCGGAATGATCGAATTTTTCTAAATGAAGTGGCGAAAGATTAAAAAAATTCAGTGCATCGTCTCTGCTAAAATCGAATAATAGTCACTTAGAGCAAAGTCACTGAGTTGAAAGAATCATTTTTTTTCGGGAGAGTGCCACTACGTTGAAATGTTTGGTCAACACCAATGACATTCTGTGTCTCGCGATCGGAGGGAAACCGCGGGGGGAGAACACAAACACACGAAGGGCGCCCAAAGTCGTGGAATCTCATCCAGCAGCAGGTCTATCCTGCTGCGTGGCACGTGCTCCTACTGCGCCACCCTGCTGTCAAAGACGTGCATTGCACCACCATTTCATCTCCATTGGCAGCCCAGTGTCGGCAGTGAAAATTCCACATTCCTATGACAAAAATACGCACGCGCGCACGCGCGCGCACACACTTTGGAAGTTCCACCACTTTTGCGGCTGGCGGGGGAGCGGGGGGGGGGGCTTAACTGTGCTGGAATCCCCGAGACACCGCACTGAATGCGATGGCTGCGCTTCGCACGACTCATGCGGCAGCTCGTGAAATGTTATCGCTCATTCACCGCTCCCGGCCTCGGGGTTTTGTTTTGAATAGGAAGCCGGCTGCACGTTGATCAGTCTGGACAAGACACGCTTCCTTCCCTGGTTTTTTTGTTGGGGGGGGGGGGGGGGGGGGGTGGAGGTGAAATTTCCTAAAAAGGAGTTTGCATTGCCACGTACTCCTATTGTGTCCAATGCGCTGGCCATTGCTGCAAGTCTGGAAGCTCGAGTGATGTAGCAGCAGCAGGTTGTGTGTGAACATAACGGAAGTTTGGGGGTGACCGGGGTCCCAACAAAATGTTTCACTTGGCTAGAAGTTGAAAACAAATTCTTGCATTTATTTTTATTGATCCTCTTCCCACCAGCCTTTGCCCTTCAATGCCACCGACACGAACAGCTTTGTCAAGGTCCACATCTCCCTCCAGCACTTCCCCTACATCCCCCAAAAAAAACCCCACTGAGAGAATCTCAATATTTCTGCGAAATGGCATCGAAGCTCAAAACATCAATTTCTATTAAACGGTTTGAGAAAGGAGTCTTCCGCTACGGGCACCTTTTCCCTCACTCCGTCCCTCGACTCGTCACCTGTGCACCAATTGCATTTGCCCGCAAGCACAAACTCCCAAACCGTCGGCCACCATCATCCGCGCTTGGGACATGGCAACGCCCTCAGGATATCCATGACCGGTTCCATCAGGCAGTGGCCAATGAAGAGGTGTTGGGGTCCTACCGACGGCAATCTTTGATCATGGGCGATCGATACAGTTTGACTTTTAATAAATTAATCTATAAATGTCCTGATGTTGAGATGCATTTTTTTCCCCATCCAAGTATCCATTTTGTCGAAATGCTAATGGGTTTCATCGAGAGCTTACTGGCAGAAAAGCGAACGTGAAAATCCTGTCGTGAATTGGCAACGTTTTACCAAATGCAGAGCTTTGACTGTTTGAGTCTACTTGCTTTTTCATAGCAAAAGTAAAAAAATCACCCACTTATTACAGATGCTTGGCCATAAATTTCCACCGCAAACGTTGTTTTGGTCATGCAAACCACCGCAGAGTGCGGTTTTTATGCCCAGCCTTTCGAGCAATGATGATGACAGAACACTGGAGTCATTGAACAGTTTTCGTTTATATTCCGTCATCCAGCAAGTCTTTAAAAAAAAAAGTCCATTACTGTTAGAGCTGCACCAATTCAACAAGTCCCGATCCGAGGCGACGAGGTTTTCGCGTGAATTTCAAAGTGTTCATCAGCACGTTAACCCTTTCCCCGTTCCGAGAAGTCTGCAAGTTGCAGGGTGGGTGTCCAGTTTGCCGCCGAATCTCGGAACGCGCGAGAGGTTAGCGTTACATTCTAGAGGCACGACACTGCTGCTTTTCAAGGCTTACTCATCGCAGAGAACTGTAGCGACACGACCGCACGATAGCTGCCACGAAACTGCCACACGCCCTCCCGCATGGCCTCGTGGAAGCCTTGGTACCGTTCAAGTTATTTTTTTTTCTTCCCGTTTTGACGACGCACACGCAAGCCATCGGAACGGAACGAAAAACTGATGACATACATGTACGTCATTGGAACAGGAAAGGATTAATTACTGCCTTACGCCCGCTTAGCCAAGTGTTACCCAGCTCTTAAATAAAGGCCTTTTGCTTCTAAACCTCGTCATCCCGCAGAGAACCAGAATTACTTTGTTTTGGTAATTTAGTACAGTATTTGACGGGCAACAGCATAATTACCAGCGCAATGTTAACATTCCTTCACAAAATCAATGCTATCTGCTCAATAAGGTGATCATCATTTCATTTCCGACACCACCTCGTGGCGCTTGCCTGGCACGTCGAGGCCCAGGCTTGGAAACCGCACCCGAGGTGGCGGCGGCGGCGGCATCCTGTCACCATGGCACCTGCCGCCACCCAGCCGCTTTTAAATGGAAAAAGTATTTCTGTAAACCCGTGGCACGTGACTGGCGTGTGCTTCGCGCGGTGTCGCGAGAGGTTTGCTTTGACGCGGAAGCTCCTGCCATGCGCCCGTGAAGCGACCGCATCAGAAGCGCTTCATCTGCTTGCGCTCCATCTTGCGCTGCTTCTTCTCGCTCACTTCCTGCTGCTGCTGCTCCGGCTGCGCCGTGAACCAGGGTCCCAGGATGTTCACCCAGAGCAGCTGCGCCGCCCTGGCCGGAGCCTGAAACAATAACGAGATAACGAGGGAGGAGAAGCCGCGTGCGCATGCCACGTGCACACGCCACGTGCACACGCGTAGGTTCTCCTGTTTCCAACGTGCGCTTGTCCTCGAAAAGGTATTCGTTCGGCGCTGATCTCGTTACGTTGGAAGCCACGCAGTTGGACGTCATCCCATCTTATCTTAGCGGAATTTATAGAGCGCCTTAACCGAGGCACTTTGCGAAGAATTAACAACGGTACAACAACAACGACGACGTGTGACTGTAATGGTGGAGATGAGATGAATTAAATAGATGAGATCAAGCGATGGGGGAGAATCTGTGATTCTGCGTGAATCTGGTGAAAGCGAAATTGATGACCGTAAATGATGATGATGAATGCACGGGGTTAATGAGTGTGAGCCGTGTCATGGGAATATGACGAGGGAACGGTAACGGTGGCGGTGATGAGGGGGAGATTAAGGCGGACGTGGGGTGAGCTCGGGAACAATGAGTGAGTTGAGAGTGAGGAGCAGAAACTTAGTGAGCGAAGGTGACCGCTTAATGTGGAGGGGACGAGGAGAGAGAGAGCAGCAGCAGCGTGGATTGAGCACAAGGGGGCGACAGATACAAGAGTGGCAAGATCCCACGACGCCACACATCGTGTGCCGCGTGACGTTATCCCGTCGTGCAGCTCAAATCGTAACGTTATTATCATAAATTGAATATTTCCGAGGACCAACGCATCAAGGTAAAACTTACATTTGACAAACTGTATTATGCTACATTTCCTGACTGCAGGGATCCATACTCTTTTGTTCTTTCGGTCAAGTCACGTAGGTAGGCAAAATAAAACAATTAAATCACGACGTTTCGGGCGCAACACAAGCGTCCGTCATCGGGTGGGACAACCACAGCAAGAAACAATTGCTGAAGTGGGCAAATTAAAAAAAAACGTCATGATTTAATTTCATTTATACCTACGTGACCTTACCGAAATAACCAAGAGTACGTATTATGCTACGTTAAGCTGTATTGTCTTAGTGTGCCAGGAGTGATTGCTATGTAGTGTGATGAAATATCCAGACGTTGTTATCAGACTTGCAATATACAGATAGTACATCGGGTGTTCATGCAAACATGCCTCACCAATAGCCAAAGCAGCCAGAAGTAGTTTGATATGCAACTGAGCACTTGGACGATAGCTGTGAGCAGAATAACGTCCTTCAAGTGCCTACATCAGAAGAGAAACAGAAATGAACACTCAATGTCAAATACAGCACAAGTGACCCACAATGACCTCGCTGATCTCGTCAAGGCGCATAAACCATCACGTGAACTCCGCTCACCCTCGCAGCAGCGGCTTTTGGCTCGGCCATCGAACAAAGACGGTGGTCACTGCATCGCACGCTTTCAGATGCGCTTCTGCGGCTGTCTGGAACGCTCTTCCTTCTGATATCAGGAGGCCAATGGAACCATGCACTTTTAAATCATCTCGACTGACAAATTCATTTCTTTACAAATGGACCCCGTCGCTCTATCTCCACACTGGATGTCCACTTGGGAATGTTCCTTCCTTTGCCTTTCATTCCATCACCAGTTTTGGCCACTGCTCACCATCTCTTCTTGCCATGTGTCCTGACCCAAGCCCACTTACTTGATTTAAAATCTAATAATCTACCAGATGTATCCAATTTGCATTTGTTCTCTGCAATGAATGTGGACCGCGGGCCTGGAGTTTGGAAAACCCCGGCATGGAAGACAATACACGGTGGGGGAAGGAGTCACTCATCAATCATACGCACGCGGAGTAATAAAAAAAGGAAATCTTCAGCCTGGACTGCAACTGGCGAACCAAGGCAGCAGTAAGGATTACCGTATTTTCCCGAATATAACCCGCAGACACATATAACCCGCAGACGCATATAACCTGCAGACACATATACCCCTCAAAAAAAGCGTTTTGTGTAAAACAAATTTCAGATAGCCCGCACCTCCATATTCCCCGCATGCATTCATAGATTTAACGTCGTTACCGGAGCTTAATTCCATCATATGAATACGAAGTTTACATTTGTAATACATTCCACTATCAATTGTTAACATTAAAAACATAACGTGCACAACGAAAACAAACTAACCGGAAACGAGTGAACTTACAACAGTAAATAAGTAACAAAAGTAAATATACAATAAATAAGTAACACGTAACTGGTAGATAAGTAAAGTTTTAGCACTGGTAGATTGCGCACTGTGCAGACAATAACGGCACTACGGTGACGCCGTCGCCTCGCCCACAACCCCCCCCACCTCTCTCCCCCCAGCTGCCCCACCCCCAACCCCCACCTCTCTCTCCCCCCAGCTGCCCCACCCCCAACCCCCACCTCTCTCTCCCCAGCTGCCCCACCCCCCAACCCCCACCTCTCTCTCCCCCCAGCTGCCCACCCCCACCTCTCCCTCCCCCCAGCTGCCCCACCCCCAACCCCCACCTCTCCCTCCCCCCAGCTGCCCCACCCCCACCTCTCTCTCCCCCCCAGCTGCCCCACCCCCAACCCCCACCTCTCTCTCCCCCCAGCTGCCCCACCCCCACCTCTCTCTCCCCCCAGCTGCCCCACCCCCCAACCCCCACCTCTCTCTCCCCCCAGCTGCCACCCCCACCTCTCTCTCCCCCCAGCTGCCCCACCCCCCACCCCCCCACCTCTCCCTCCCCCCAGCTGCCCCACCCCCCACCTCTCTCCCCACAGCTCTCCCGTCGCCGGTAAACAGTGCGCCCACTTCAAACATTGTCGTTTAATTGTACAAACAATTAATTTAAAACGTGATCACACGTGCAACTTTAGTGCGAGTGGTTTATTCAGCAGTGCTTTAGTCAAAGCTAAGTGTTGCATAGTGGATAGTCCTACCATGAAAACATTTAAACGAATCACGACATGTCACACGTGTAAAATATTTTTGGGATAACCCGCACCTCCATATACCCCGCAGGGTCTTGTTTTATTTGTAAAAAGTGGTATACCCCGCGGGTTATATGCGGGGAAAATACGGTACTAGCGAGAAGGACTTTGGGGGTAGTAGCGGTGAAGACGCAACCACCCATTGAGCAAAAGCTGACTGGGTAATGGACTGTGAATGGGGCGGACGGGGAGCTCACTCGGCCAGGCCCTGCTCCATGTTGAGGTCGATGCCTCCGTCGAGCAGAACTCCATCCCCCGAGTACGAGGCGACCGCCATGTGCACCATCACGTGCCTGCAGCCGCCCTGCGCCAGGAGTGCCAGCAGAAGCATTGCCTGAATGCACACACACAGAAAAAATATACAAATATCAATTAACAGACTAAACGAAACTATTTTTTTTATTTTACCAGGTAAGGCCCACTGAGCGATACAGCTCTTTTTCAGAAGCGACCTGGCTATCACAAGTGATAGCTCAACGAAGTGGCTTATCACCACGTGGACATTTATTGTAGCCAAATACTCAAAGCGCGTGATGTTGATTCTAAATGTGGAGGGAAAAACCAGAGGACCCGGAGAAAAATCCACGCGGCCATGGGGAGAAAATGCACGCTCCAAATCTACAGGCGTCAGGATTGGGTTCGAACCCACGACCTTCTGCGTACTAGGCGACGGAGTTAACATCTCGCCACCGTGGCACCCCAGACTGCTAGAAAAATATCTGTTGGTGAGCACCTATTAAGGCTGGCACAGGGCACAATAGGGTGGTGGAGCCAGCATTGCGAATGCATGACTACCGTTTACAACCCAGGGTCCATTTTATCAAAACGGGAACCGATTTTAGGCCTCGTCGACTTAGGGGAGGTCCAGCATGATCTCTGTCCAGGCGGCAAGGAGAGCCTTGTCACAGGATTCTTAATTCAGTGCACTAACCAATGCACGCTCGCTCCACACGCGCAGACACACACACACAGACGGGAATTATAACCGAGTGTAATTCGTAAACACAAGCAATAGATGTACGTTTCCTTACCCAGGACCAAAAAGTTGAAGAACTATAGAAGAGCACGAGGTGGACAAGGACATATATAGCCTGCAAGAGAAATGGGACAGATTGGGTCAATGCACATGTTTGTATGGATATTGAACTTCTTTCACACCGTACATTGCTATTCGGAGGTGTTTGTAGCGAGGATATGAAACTACAGATCACCGAGTTTCGCTCATGCCACAGGTAATTGAAATCCTGAATTGTTTGACAATTTGGTATCTACATTCAAGTTGAACAATTTAGAACGACACCTTAAAAAACCACACATATAACATCAGCCATGATCTATTCACTTCTGGATGAAGGCTTCCCTCCACCGCCACCATCCGTCACTGTACTGAGATGCTACAATCCCACTTCTGTACATGAGCAGATTTCATCGCTCCATCTCCCTGGTTTCTCCTTTGGCTACCATTCCATCCCCAGTCTCGTCTATCAATCCACATCCATTATAGAGATGTCCACTTTTACGCGTCTCCAATTTGATTGTGGTACGATTCATTTTCCTTTTCCATCTCGTGGTATAATTGCCAGTACGGGCAGTCCCAGGCTTACGAACGGGTTCCGTTCCTGAGACCCGTTTGTAAGTCGAATGGTTCGCAAGTCGGAAAATAATCTACTGTATTCAAATGCGCATATGGTGAGTGTTATAAAACGTGTAACGGTTCAACAAAAAAAGGGATGCAATTGAATCATTTGGCGGGACCCCGGGGTCCCGCAAAAATCAGGTCAATAATTATTATTTTTCAGTCCGCCCACTTGTGATCCCGACAGCAACGTGCCGCCCGCCCAGACTCGCGCCAACAACAAGCGCCAGCAGCAGGCGGTGATCGACACGATGGGCGCCACCCCACCGGCCAAACGCAATCCCGGGCGTCTGCCCGGGCCCTCCGGTCAGCCGTCAATCCTCAGCTTCTTTGCCAAGGCGAGCCATCCCCAGCAGTGAATTTAACGTGTTTATGTAATTTTTCAACTTTTTACGAAACTTAGTGTCCCGAGTAGCTCTCGACGAGGCCAATCGATTGACCACTAGTTTTGTTGTTGGTGAGGCAAGACTCGTGTCGCTACGTGGTTTTTCCCACCCAGGGGCAGTGATGGGACCCCGGGGTCCCGCCAATTGCATCAATTGTTAAACTCATAAAAAAAGAAGAAATATATTAAGAAATACTGCGCTGAAGCAAATATAGTTCCGCGATTTGGTTCGCAATTGCGAGTTGATGTTCACAAGTCGGATGGTTAAAAAAAGAAACATCTTATGGATGCTCATTCGTAAGTCGGGCGTTCGTAAGTCAGGGACCGCCTGTGTGCATCTCGCATTCAAAAGCTGCCAAGAAAACCCAACGGGTTCCGCAGGTCTCGACGCACAATTGCTCCGATGATGACACGTGTGTAGAACGTCAGCGTCTCCTTGTTCTCCTCCACGATCTGCTTTTGGCCCTTGGTGCCTTGCTTGCCTTTGGGCTGCAACATAAACACGCAATGAAGCAAAGCACACGATAAGCACACTCAATTCATTGGCTGAAAACATCTCAATATACGGTAGACTGCAGAGCGTTGGCTTACCACCTGGCTCCCTTCGGGATTGTCTGTGGTTCCTCAGCGATTGAGAGATGCAATTTCAATGGGCGACACGGCATCAAACTAAACGATATTATCAACTTAACAAAAAAGTGACCGCTTAAAGAACTTTAAACTCGCTGGCTTCTTGCCTCTCAGCTCGCTCTCCTGTGCCGACCCCCCACAGCCTGGATGGAACTCCCATCCCACAGTCATCCGTGATGCCGACTTCCCGTGCCTCTGTTCAACTACTTCCTCAATTCGTGTATTTGCCCTCCTAAAAACAACTTCACAAACTGTTTCTGCACAGGGTCTTGGGATGCGTTCGTGTGTTTTTTAACCACAGCTGTACACAATTCCACTGCCCAGTATTGTAAAGCACTTGGTCGGTAATTGGATCGGGCGATCTTGCCGTCCCTTGTGACTCACGTGGACACACGTTTGTGAATGAATGTTGCTATTACCTTGATTTGATTCATTAATCAATGAGTACACTGGCGTGGCAGTTTTCAAACGTGCTGTACAGGGTGGTCCAGATTGCTTGTGACCCCACCCCCATTTAATAATCTACAACTTCATATTTTAAAAGGTTTAGATAACAAAAATAATCGCAAATTAAAAAAAACATTTTTGTGGGGGGGGAGTGTCACAAGACATCTGGACCACCCTGTACATCCACATGTTTAACACACACACAGAGTACGTGCGTAAAGTACAAAACTAAAGCGATCTAATAACCAACAATGATTTCCTGAAACAGGAGATTTTAAATGTCACAACGCAGCTGCAAGTCGTGCTACTTAGGAGAGACACGTGTACGTTAAATATTACTGTACCGTCCAGGGGTAGGATTAAACATTAAACAAACGCTGCAAATTTCATTGCATTGCAGTACACCAGCGCCTGTAATTCACTAAGCGGCGTTAGAAGGCTTCGTTTATTCACCGTTTAATTGTTTTATATCCACGTTTACGGAGATCGGCGGCTTAACGTGTGAAAGTGTCTGCTGGTGGTAGCAAATGAATTAAAACTTACAGCCATCGTCGATTGCTTTAGTTCACGGCGAAATTACACTCGTCTGGAAAAAAAATATTTCGTGCAGTTGATCTTTTAAAACAAGTTTAAGTCCCGTGTGCTTTCTTTTTAAACGTAAGTAAATACGTCTCACGAGAGGAGCTTTTTTTAAATTTCAATGTGCACGTCAGCACTGCCCACGGGCTACGGGGCCGCACCCGCGATCCCCGACCTCGCCTGGATCACACGGCGGGGCTTGGGCGCCCGAGTGTCGGCCGCGCATCCAGGCGACACCGCCTAAGGGGAGGGAGGTGTGCGAGGCCTTGCGCCGGCCGGCGAACGAGCGTCGGTTATCCCCCCCGTATCTCTCTCTCTCGATTTATTAACAAATTTAGCCGCTTTTAAACGAACGAACGCGAACGTTTACACCTCCTGGCGGGCTTCTGACGCGACGCTTTTTAAAGAAAGTATAAAAGGGGAGATAAAGACGGTGGTGGTGGGGGGCTGACAGAAGCCGACAGCGGCCGCGACTCCCGCTGGGCCGAAGCGGAAGCGGGAACCCCCCCCGATTGCTTAACACGCTCGCAGACTGTGCTCGGTTAATAAATCTATTATAATAATAATGACGATAATATATGAGCAGCTTGCAAAAAGTTTCACGTAACAAATAAATATATATAAATATATAAATGTGTGGTTCACACCACGCCGCCCACGCGACACTTTGTCACGTGGACAATTGGTTACTTAGAGGCAGTCCCCGGGTTACGCAAGGGGGTTGTGTTACCGCGCACGATACGTAAATTTTCCGTATGTCGGAGACTGAACAAATTCCCCCCCCCCCAAAATCAACCATAAAATCCCTACCCAGTAACTAGGGTCGTTTTTTACTCAGTGCCGTATCGCGCTGTCCTCCAGTTGCTTTCGCTACCTGCACTTGCAAGGATTCTTTCATTAAATCGAATATCAACCCTAACACTACCCATAATTAAACTAATGGAATATATACCGTGTCCAATTGTTTATGAATACCACGAAACATTTTTTTATATTTATTGTTAACAGAAAGCCGTCACTTCCGAATGTTTGTATACCGTGCATTAGGCTTGGTCTATAGACTTCTCCGATTGCTGTTGGCTGAGACGATAAGCAATCGAAGTGTAATTGTGTTACATCAAGTACGTAAAATAAATAACTCGTGAAATAAACTTAAAATGAAGAAAACTAGCAGTATAAACATGGGGGGGGGGAAGCACAGAAAACAAACAATTATGTAATGCTACAAAATGAAAATAATTACATAACGCTACAAAACATTCCATTTGTTGGAGTGAGGAGGCGTAAGGCACAACAACCGGTTATACTTCAGAAACAATCGGTGTGTTGGAGAGTAAAAACCCACGACATTTACAATTCGAGTTAATGACATTTCGCTGGTGATTCCAACAACCGGCGTCATCAGGCAATTAGCCAGAATTGTGAAGAAGTCCTCCCGTTTTGATCTTAAATCGAGGAGCAAAGGTGACTGGAAGGCCAAAAAAACCTTTATTTTGGATAATATTAGTCGCGAAAGCCGATGTGTTAAACTTTCGAAGTTCCGTGCGTGTGAGTGCATTTCACGCTTTTCTTAATCGTAAACAATAATAATGCCAAAGGCAATTTCAAGACAATAGTGTGGTACAGCAGTTGACGCTGGCACGTTTTAATCCCTTAGTTTATATATTTTAAAGTTGATTTCTGGATGGGTCTTATAGGCTGCCATGTGGCTCTTAAATCGGGTCCGGTTCTGTGTTGCATTACTTGGCAAGCAATTTATTCAATGGGACATTCAATGGTTCGTTTTTTTTGTTTCTTAAAGTTGTCCACCGCTGTTATTGAATTAAATGCAAAGTGAAACCCCTTGCAAACGTTCATTTAAAACACAAACTGTAACTGGAGTTCATCAAACGTCCCAATGCTTGGAATTTACCTGCAAATTGCTCAAATGGGATTTCAATTGGCTTCAAGTGAGTAATTAAGACAACAAAAAACAGCGCGTCCATCAATTACCGGGCTAGGTGGGTGGGTGTCCCCAATGTGTCGCAAGTTTATCACAAAATCCTATTCCTTCCATTTCAAAAGTCCACACATTTTAAGAGTTTCCCATACATAGTTTGTTGACCTTCCCCCGGACCTCTGATTATCACGGTTTGCTACGTAAGATGCGAAAGATGTTCAACATACAAACCCAAACCTATTATATGCAGGCCACGGTATTTCCGTTGGCATTATTTCTAGGATATGATGTACATGGCGCGCATGGTAGCAGGCAAGCCACCGTAGAACTGAAGCACCTTAATGTGCTTCTTCTTGAGCCACTCCTTTGTTGGCTTGGCCGTGTGTTTTGGGTCATTGTCATGCTGGAATACCCATCCACGACCCATTTTCAATGCCCTGGCTAAGGGAAGGAGGTTCTCACCCAAGATTTGACGGTACATGGCCCCGTCCATCGTCCCTTTGATGCGGTGAAGTTGTCCTGTCCCCTTAGCAGAAAAACACCCCCAAAGCATAATGTTTCCACCTCCATGTTTGAAGGTGGGGATGGTGTTCTTGGGGTCATAGGCAGCATTCCTCCTCCAAACACGGCGAGTTGAGTTGATGCCAAAGAGCTCAATTTTGGTCTCATCTGAATACAACACTTTCACCCAGTTGTCCCCTGAATCATTCAGATGTTCATTGGCAAACTTCAGACGGGCATGTATGTGTGCTTTCTTGACCAGGGGGACCTTGCGGGCACTGCAGGATTTCAGTAATTCACGGCGTAGTGTGTTACCAATTGTTTTCTTGGTGACTATGGTCCCAGCTGCCTTGAGATCATTGACAAGATCCTCCCGTGTAGTTCTGGGCTGATTCCTCACCGTTCTCATGATCATTGCAACTCCACGAGGTGAGATCTTGCATGGAGCCCCAGGCCGAGGGAGATTGACAGTTCTTTTGTGTTTCTTCCATTTGCGAATAATCCCACCAACTGTTGTCACCTTCTCACCAAGCTGCTTGGCAATGGTCTTGTAGCCCATTCCAGCCTTGTGTAGGTCTACAATCTTGTCCCTGACATCCTTGGAGAGCTCTTTGGTCTTGGTCATGGTGGAAAGTTTGGAATCTGATTGATTGATTGCTTCTGTGTACAGGTGTCTTTTATACAGGTAACAAGCTGAGATTAGGAGCACTCCCTTTAAGAGTGTGCTCCTAATCTCAGCTCGTTACCTGTATAAAAGACACCAGGGAGCCAGAAATCTTTCTGATTGAGAGGGGGTCAAATACTTATTTCCCTCATTAAAATGCAAATCAATTTATAACATTTTTGACATGCGTTTTTCCGGATTTTTGTTGTTGTTATTCTGTCTCTCACTGTTCAAATAAACCTACCATTAAAATTATAGACTGATCATTTATTTGTCAGTGGGCAAACGTACAAAATCAGCAGGGGATCAAATACTTTTTTCCCTCACTGTAGGTATATAAAAAAAATCACGACGTTTCAGGCGCAACACAAGCGTCCGTCATCAGGTGGGACAACCACAGCAAGAAACAATAGCTGAAGTGAGCAAAAGGGGCTGCCGTGACAAGAGGCTATATAGGTAACAGAGGTGGGGGGGGGAGTAAGGGGGGAGAGATAGAGAGGGGGGTGGGGTAGGAGGATGGGACCGCTGCGAGAGCGTTTTGTGTGCTTGTCTGCTCGTTCTGTAAACGCTTTCGCAGCGCTCCCCGTCCCCTACCCCACCCCCTCTCTATCTCTACCCCCTTACTCCTCCCCCCTCTCTTACCGATATCGCCTCTTGTCACGGCAGCCCCTTTTGCTCCACTTTAGCTCTTGTTTCTTGCTGTGGTTGTCCCACCTGATGACGGACGCTTGTGTTGCGCCCGAAGTGTCGTGATCTAATTTATTTTATTTTCTACCTACGTGACTTTACCAAAAGAACCAAAGAGTATGGATCCCTGCAGTCACGAAAACTTCAAATATAGATTGACGTCATTTTTTTTTACTATTTATATTTGACCAGGTGAGGCCCGCTGAGGTACACAGCTCTATTTCCGAAGCGGACTGGCCACAAATGATAGCTCAACGAAGTGGCTTATCGCGTAGATATTTATAGCAGCCAAATACTTCAAATATAGTCAGTTCTCCTATAATGCCGCGTGTTGTTTTCATAATGTGAATTGGCTATAACGCGATTAATGTATTGAGGAACACATTTTTTTATAAGGCGGATGCGAATTGGACATAACGCGATCGAGTGAATGGTACTACGTCGCTCGCGCAAGTAGGAATAAGTGGTCGTACGGCTGCCTCGGCGTAGCATCACACAAGACATTGGGATGCTGCTGGATGCTTCTAGACGCGCGCATCAAGTCTTTTCTCAGCCTGCGTACGCATCTCGCGTGTTATCGCGGACTGTGCTTTACCCAATATTCTATATTATTTATTATCACGCGATTTTTCCATAACGCGGTGTTCTGTACTTTTAAGTCCATTGAGCCCAATTAAATTGAGTAAACCAAGAAGATTTTGGTTAATCCTTCAAAGGTCTGTCATACTCAAGTGCTCTCCATCGTTGTGTAAGACCGGCTTTTCATTCCACTCCGTGTGTCTCTCTGCCTAAGAGACGACATTGAATTGGCCATGAACAGACTGGGAACACCAACCTCCAGTATAGCCTTAACAGACTGTTGGGGCAAGTGCTGTTAGCGAGCACCTATGAAGGCCGGCACGGAACAAGGGATGGTGGGTGGCCAACACCACGCCCGGCCGCCTTTGTCTCCCCAGTGGCGATATTTACACACCGCACCAGGTACTCATTTGAGGCTGAGTCGCCCTAGGGGAGGCCCGGGACCGGTGCAAATAATCGTCACTGGTGTTGGCCGTGAGCGGGAATCGAACTTGGGTCGTCAGGTTCGTAGCGCAGTGCGCTAACTGCTACACTACCGCTCTTCACAGGTTGTGCAAAGTATGAGTATACAGAAACACTTACAGAGCAGTCTTTCAAAAATGCGCTTTTAGCCATAACATCTGGGGACATAGCCAATTACATTACGTGCAAAACAAAACGCTGCAAAAATAAAATAATATATTCCACACAACATACTGACGGATATGCCCAACAAGGTTATGCGAAAGGGCGCCATCATTGATATTGCACCCTTGAATTGTTGCAGGTGTCGGTCAATTTGATGAGATGATTCAAACACCCAGAGCAAGACAGGTGTACATCACTGCCCTGATGGAGATAACTAAACCCGATCTACCCTTGTAAGTGTTCTCAGGAAGCCACTGGAGCTACTAGGACGCCACTGAAACTACTAGGGAGTCACTGGAGCTACTAGGGAGCCACTGGAGCTACTAGGGAGCCACTGGAGCTACTAGGGAGCCACTGGAGCTACTAGGGAGCCACTGGAGCTACTAGGGAGTCACTGGAGCTACTAGGGAGCCACTGGAGCTACTAGGAAGCTACTGGAGCTACTAGGAAGTCACTGGAGCTACTAGGGAGTCACTGGAGCTACTAGGGAGCCACTGGAGCTACTAGGGAGCTACTGGAGCTACTAGGGAGCCACGGGAGCTACTAGGGAGCCACTGGAGCTACTAGGGAGCTACTGGAGCTACTAGGGAGCTACTGGAGCTACTAGGGAGCCACTGGAGCTACTAGGGAGCCACTGGAGCTACTAGGGAGCTACTGGAGCTACT